CCGAGTTATTGAAAAATGATCCGAGTCTATTCTATTTTGAAACGGACAGTAGTTAATATAAACATGACTAGCGAGAGCCCCTACACAATGCACGGCTGTTTCTTCCTTTAACATATGACCTAAGACGTTTAACTTTTCATTCAGGAACAGAGAGACAGACACTTGACATTATATATACCAATACATAGCCCTACGGCCTCATACTCTTATATCGCACATACTTTTAGAGTGCATGTAACCTTCGACCTTATAGCCTTGTATCCATTATAGCTATTGCAGCCTTATTGTCTTAGAACTTACTGCCGTAGTCCCTTGAGAACCTATGGCTACGCTCATATTATAGCTCTCCATATCCTATATATATATATACCATAAAATAGCTCTCGAGAACATATAGGTGCTTCCGTATAATAACTCTTGAGGGTATACGAATATCCTATATGATAGCCCTTGAGAACTTCTAGGGATCCTCTATAATAGCTTTTAAGTAACTATGGATACCCGCATATAATAGCCGTTGAGATCCTATAGATATCCCTATATAATAGCTCTTGAAGACTTATAAGTACTTCAGTATAACAGTCCTTGAGGACATATAGTACCCCTATATAATAGCCATTGAGGACCTGTGAGTACCCCTATACAAATAGGTCTTGAGGAGCTGTGGCTGCCCACATATGACAGCTCTTGAGGTCCTATAGATACCCCTCACATAATCGCCCTTGAGGATCTTCCCCTTATAGTCTTATTCGACCTTTAACCTGGTATAAAGAAGCATACCCACACACTGAACATTATATGTATAGTTTAAAACATAAAAAACAAAAAGTTCAGTTAAAATTATATGAGAATATAATTGTTGTGTTGATGTAACAAAATTCTAAAACGATCGTTTTTATTAGGCGATCTGATAAACTAATATGTACAAGTAATAATAGTTATCTACGTAATTAAACTGAAGATTCATGTGGTCATTTTGATGATTGTTTAGTACGCTGCATCTCACACAAAGCCACAGATTCGTTACACTTGAACCACTCAAGACCTTCACACCGTTTGATACCACGAGGTATTTCATTAATGATATTCTTCAATTTCATGATACCTTGAGTTTCACAATATGTTTGGCAACCTGAAATTCCCTAATATCCTTGAATTCCATGAATTTCCACAAATCATCGAGTGCCGAGATATCATCGAATTCCATGGAGGGCATGGCAAATTCCTCTTTCCTGAAAATTCAAATTTCATCACATGAATAGCAAACAAAACACATAATGAAAGAGAAGCTTTTCCTATTCTAAGTGTATGCTGCCTAAAGCCATTCAAACAAACAATCAGATTAATAATCAATCAAAATGATGAGTACCCACATACTCTGATCAGCTATAAGTCAGTGCTTTCCATCAGATAGACAGTGTGTGCAAAGAGTGTATATAGTGTAGTGGAGTTGGGTTGGGTTCCGTTGGGTAAGGAAATTCATTTTAAATTACACGTGACTATCTATATTTGATTTGATACGTTGTATTAGTTTCCAGAAAACTACCCTTTTCTGGACTTTACTGGGAGCGGGGCATAATGGCCATAAGGAGCATAAGTATTTGAGGACTTCAATTTTTCAGATGAATTATAGCTGGGGAAAATCTGCACAACATTTAATTTAACTTTACATGAGAATATTCTGTGAAAAGGAAAGAAATTTTCTCCAAAAATCCCTGTACTTCCCTGTATGGTTTTCTATCGAATGCCTTTAATTTTTTCAGATTTTCAGGCACATGAAAACGATCGAATGGAAGATGCTATAGAGTTGTAGTTTGGCCTGAAGAATCACTACATAAAGTGGGTCGTCTGATACAATTTTGACATTGTCATCTAGTCCCAATGGCTCAGGATCTACTCTAGAAAATCATGATTTCGATCCAATATACCCAATTTGACAACTCGCATCTGAATGGGTGAGCATCTTATCGAAGTCAAAGTGGTACACCCACGGAAAAATTCTTCCGAAAAAAACCGCGGTTTTGTTCCACATTTTGACAAGCCGCGAAAGTCAGACCTTTTATGCGGTTTTTGGAAACCGGCGAAAACCGCGGTTTGCAAATACCGCGATGAGAACCGAGAAAAACGCGGTTAGACCTGCAAAAACTCAGCTCGGACCGCGATTTTCTCGGTTCTCACCGCGATATTTGCAAACCGCGGTTTCAGCCGGTTTCAAAAACCGCATAAAAGGTCTGACTTTCGCGGTTTATGAAACCGCGGTCTTTTCTTGAAAAACTTTTCCGTGGGCAGTGTTGAATTTCTCAATCAGTGCTACAAACTGATATAAAATATAGGATAATCTATCTAACAACGGTCCCGCCCATACATATTGAAAGATATCGAAAAATGAAAAGTATTTGATAGAATACCCTGAAGAGGACTAAAGAGATTTTTGGAAAAATCTTTTCTTTTTTCCTTTTCGAAGGATAGGGTGTGGGTGTGGGTGTGGGGTGTGGGGTTGTGGGGTGTGGGCGTGGGGTGCGGGTTTGGGTGCGTCTTATTGCCTCTGAACACACATGCACACCCACACCCACAGCCACACCCACACCCACAGCCACACCTACACCCACACCCACACCCACACACCCACACCCACACCCACCCACACCCACACCCACACCCACCCACACCCTTCGTGATGCCTGCACGAAAAAAAAAAGAAAACATTGACAACGTTCACCCTCGATTCTGGAATGATGTTTCGCACGCTGTCAATTTCCGAAGCGGTAAGACCAAATAACTTACTAGAAAACGAATCATTTTCTCATTATGTGAAACATGTTACATTCATCCTCAAATTAGAAGCAATTAATGTTACATTGACATTATTCAGTTTTCTTAATCACATCCATGTAAAAAACCAATTCCAAAAATATTCCTTTCTTAGTATGTGGCAGCAAATTGTTTTACAAAAAAAGGCTAGAAAATAGTGAATCGTGCTAAACCGATATTCGATAACGTTTTATATGATCAGTTGGGGCAAATAAAACTGGTATAATAGCCAATTATACTTACTGATTGATAATGAAATAAATCTTATTGGGCTCTATTGTGTTCCAGAACACAGTCTATTTCTTACGGTTTCCCGAATGATCTTTCCATGACTATGTTTAATTTAGATCGTTCCGTTTGAGATTGTGCATTCAAAGTTCGCATCCCCTTCATGTTACCTTAGTCATGTATATTACTACTTTGAGTGGTAATCTTCCCTCATAAAATAGTGTCTCTGATACAACGACCATGCTTGTGCTTGCTTTATATCGTTACCTTTTTATCTTTAAAACCCACGCATTTGCACATTCATACATTCAACAATTTCAGATACATTCATCAGATCACGTTTGTCAAATCTGCAAGCCTGCAAGCTCTGTTGTAGCATAAGTTCATCGATCTATGGCTACTGTAAGGATCATTCAAAAATAGCACATGCTTGAAATTTACTACCTTTTCTTTTGAATTGGACATCGTTGAAAATTTTAAGAGAATGGTCTGCTGATTTCTCTAAGATTATGAGTATATTATTTACATACGAAAAAGATGGCACATCTCTGAAATCAAGGTCTCACACAAGATAAAATTCGGGTTTCAAATTTTCACAGAGTAGTTATTCTAATTATTAAATGCACTGTATAAAAAGGCCTTCAACTTTATTATATCCAAAGCCAACATGAATGGATCTTGTGCTATACCTAGAGGTGTTAGCCGCCGATTTTTCGCCGCCGCCGCCGGTAAAATTTTCATCCGCCGCCGCCGAATAGAACGTCTCGGCGGGAACTTTTCCGCCGCCGCCGCCGTTCGAGTGAAGGGTCACAGTTCAAGCTTCCTCTTTTCTAGATTATCACTTGTTGATAATAATCAGTAATATCTCAAGTTTGATCTATGTGACAATTATAGATTGCTGAAACCAACAGAACTTTTAAAAAATAGGAATTAGTGTATTTTTTCTTGGATGACATATGGTCTGAAAACCGAGCTGATAAGAAAATATGTCTCCATGTGATTTTGTGACGCTACCATATTTATTAGGTTTTCATTTGCATTATTCCTTCATGCACAATAGATTCATCTCTATTATTTTCTTCGTTTCGCGATTTTTGACTTATTCAATATGCAGTTTCGACTAACTGTCTAGTTTGAGTTCGAATATAGATGTAACTAACATTGCGATTCGAATTCGAATTTCAATCGACACTCTCCTACCAGTTTAGAAAAAAGAAAAATATTTAGTTTCAATTTGAATTCAAATAATCAATGAAAACAAATCTTGCTCTTTTTCTCCACTCACAGAAAAGTATCGATTTGAATTTGGATTCAAACTCTAATTTCAATGTTAGTTTCACTTATGATCTAATTCGAGCTAGTATAGGGATGGCACATTATCTTTATTTTACTTTGAAAAAGTAAAGTAAAGTAAAGTAGAGTAAAGTAAAATAAAGTAGAGTAAAGTAAAATAAAGTAGAGTAAAGTAAAATACTATAGTTCGAATGTGGAAAATAAAGTGAGATAAAGTTAACCAAACAATATTTTTTATGTATCCATAAAAAATCGATATTTTTCGGCTTTACTTATTTTTTTTCACACTAATTTTAAGACGAAACGATATTGAAAAAACTTTGATACGTTCTAAGATTATTTCTACACGATCCTGAACTAAGAAATTGCCAAAAAATTTAAAACATACAACTTCATTTTTTTTCACTTTACTTTACTTTACTTTTTGGGTAACGTATTTAACTTTATTTTAACGGGTAAAGTAAAGTATTTAACTTTACTTGATCGGGTAAAGTAAAGTTCTAATACTTTACTTTATTTGGTAAAGTAAAGATAAAGTGCCAGCCATAAGCCATCATGTTTGAATTTAATTTTTATTTTAGATGAATAGTCACATTATTGCCATTTTAGCTTATATCATGAGTTCTTGTTGTGTGGTTTGAAGTTATTTTATGATGGGACAATGTGAATTTTTTGAATTAATGAAAATAAAGTTACATCTAGTGGAAAAATTTTTCCATAAAAAGGCATGAGCGTGCTAAGAAGAAAACAGCGTTATAATTCTATGAGAACAGAACGCCTAATGTTTGTCTTAACGGTAGGGATTTACGAAAGACCCTGTGAAATAACATAGGAAAAATTTTGTCGTCGCCGCCGCCGCCGAAAATGACCTCCTCGGCGAGAGCTCCTCGCCGCCGCCGCTGATGCCTTAAAAATTTTCCGCCGCCGCCGCCGATCAAATGAACGGCTAACACCTCTAGCTATACCTGTATCACAAATTTGTTACACTTCAAGAATGTGAACATATCAAGGATTCCAACTTTCTGCTGCACGTGTTGATTACTGCAGATCAAAACAAATAGTATGAGGTTTCTTCGACAGTTGTGTACAGATACTGCATTATGATAAAAACTCTATTGTTAACATCCCCGGTTTTTTTACACGATCACGTCGGATCTGTCGTCAGAAAAGGTTCAAGCAACATACTGTCTCGAAGTTTCATAAATTGTGAGAAGTGTTTTTTGAAACGAGGTCAGATGCAGTCCACAAGTCAGCAGCCCCAGACGTACCAGCAAAGATTCTGATTTTTTAGTAATTTTAGCTGATAAATTTGTAATAAAACGATGACACGCTAGTTTTTGAATAGGCTCTTCCACGAGAGCAACCATTCTTGCTTCAAGAGAGCTGACAATGATTGCATCTATGCTAACAACAATGATGCCGATGGTGATGCAGAAAAGGATTTTGGATGGGTCATAGTCGAT